CTTCATTCAGCTAATTTAGTCTGGATTTAAGCTGCCGGGTTGTCGAAGTGCAGAGTGATGGAGTCTGAAAACAGGATGAGGGGAAAAAGCAGGGGAAAGCGGAAGGAAGGAGGGAGGAGGGAAATGGGGAGATAAAGGTAGAGCAATGGAGAGAGAGAGAGAGAGAGAGAGAGAGAGAGAGAGAGAGAGAGAGAGAGAGAGAGAGAGAGAGAGAGAGAGAAGAGAGAGAGAGAGAGAGAGAGAGAGAGAGTGAGAGAGAGAGAGAGAGAGAGAGAGAGAGAGGAGAGGAGAGAGGAGAGAGAGAGAGAGAGAGAGAGAGAGAGAGGAGAGAGAGAGAGAGAGAGAGAGGAGAGAGAGAGAGAGAGAGGAGAGAGAGAGAGAGAGAGAGAGAGAGAGAGAGAGAGAGAGAGAGAGAGAGAAGGAGGAGGAGGAGCAGGGGGCTGAAGATGATGATCCATCCTGACCCTAGTGAATGCTGTCATGTTCCCCCCTCTAGGTAATCTCTCTCCCTCCCTCCCTATTTTACATGTGAAAATGCTCTCCTGACAGTTGCATATCAGATAAATTTCCCTTTTTTCCTCCCTCCTCTTCCCCGCCTTTCCCTTCGCCAAATAAACAACAGTCTTCACTTTGAAGTTGTCTGTTTGTGTCAGTTGGCTTGAGGCGAGCGTCGGCCTCTCCCTCTTCTGTCTTTGTGCTACAGCGCCAGAGCATCGCACATGATTTCCTCTCGCCGCGGCCGTCCTGCACGTCGTAGAGGACCAGAGAAACCTCCAATCATCAAAATATATTTAGTCAGTTAAAAAAGAAATACTTGTAATCTGGGGAGGAGTGGGTGTCAATCAGGCCTCATTATAACTTCCCATTTTTTAATCCAGGGATTCGGAGCAAACATCCGATCCCTCTTTTGCTTTTAATCAAGTCAGAACTGGACATTCCGACCTGCTGATGCTTGGTTACATAGTTAGAGTTTACTATAAACACACATCATGCCAGGTCCCCTCAGCGGAAACACAGCCTCACCACTTGGGGGCGATAGTAAGTGTGTGGTAATGAGTCAGCCCGGTTAGAGGTGCAGCGGCTCCTCCTGAGGGATCTCCATCACCATTAAAGCCCTCGATGGCCTGTGATGCTCTGACAGTAGCCCCCCCCCCCCCCCCCCCCCCATGGCTGAACAGAGGCAGGATCACACCACAGGATAAATATGGTAATGAAGATGGGTATAGATACAGCAGCACGCAGCTTCCTCCGTGTTTCAGCCTGTCCTGAATTCATCTGCTCTCCGTGTCAATCAGGTCGCCCGGCTCTGCCGTCAGAAACAAGCAAGGCAACCATCCTCTTAGCTGATCCATTCTTCACAAAAATAAAAACAATTAAAATAAAGAAACAATTCTAAAATAGTTTATTTCTGACTTTTTTGTTGCAGGTTTTGCTTATTTTTTTATGTATTTGTCCCTCAAATAAGATGAATTGTAAACTCAACAGCACAAAACAACGTGACTACGGTCACGTTATTATGATGCATTAGTAGGTCACTGAAGTACATTCATCTAATTCACACAAACTCTGATTCATCTGTGCCTTCATGCCTTTGTAAGGATTTATAACTGTGTGTTAAATATTGTGGCCAGTTATAAAATCTTTATACAAATCAGAATAATCACACAAGAAACAGCAAGCTGATTTTTATAAGAAGTTTTATTTTTATGTGTGATATAGACCCAAATCTACAGCGTCTTCATCACTTAGAGCATCCGTGTCTAATCTTGGTCCTTAAGGGCCACCATCCTGCATGTTTTAGTCGTTTCCTTTCTCCAACACTCCTGATTCAGTCGTTTGGTTACACGTTCAGCATGTCAGAGGCTTGTTAACCATCCGTTCAAACCCGATGTGCTGGAAGAGAGAAGCTTCTAAAACACAAAGGAAAGCAGCCATCGAGGGCTTTTATTGTTACGTAGACCTAACGTATATCCGGAAAGCAAGGACATGTTTGAATACACCACAGACTTGTACAATAGAAGATATTTTGGGAAAATTGGAAACCATTTCTGGACAAACAAATAATGTTTTCTTCCTACAAAAGGAGAAAAAATATCAATTTTACATTTTGAAAAAGTATTAGCAGTGTGTGGACTGTCACTACCACAATGTAATTTGACATAGGTGTGCAGATATTTCATTTACTTCAATAAATGAATATGACTGTTTACATTTATTTATTGCTTTTATTCTGACTGAATGTTTGTGACCATGGCTGTTAACTTTTTCACAATGAACTTACAGTCAAACTCAGTAAAGTCCCCAACACACACACACACGCACGCACGCACGCACGCACGCACGCACACACACACACACACACACACACACACACACACACACAGCAACATCATTTGTCTTTAAATGTCACCTATGGCTGGAGTTCAGCTTCTCTGTTTCATCCGGGATCTGTCGGAATTCCAAATCCAAATGAAAACTTTGGATTTTAACATTTCACAAACTCTTGATCAAGACTCCACAAAGCAGCTGTTTGTTTTTCTTTGAGTCTGCGTACGCGGGCTGTACTGAAGGTACCGTATCCCTCTTTGGGTCTGCTACTTTAAGGGGGCGTGGCTAAGTGTAAAGGTGTAGTTTGGTGAGAGAAAATTGTTGAAAATCATGAAAATGTTGAGCACTGACTTATTTTCTCTGTGGTTAAAACCAATCACAGTTGAACTTATTCTGAATGAGCTTGATGCTGTCACACGTCTCCGGCCCTGCACTCAGCCACTCAGGCACAATAAAGGCCACTGTCAGATGGAATAAACCGATAATAAAAACCGAGGTGACGACAAATCTGAGTATTATTTAGATGGAAGACAGTCTTTTCATTAACTATGGAGTGGAGTTGCGGTGGTTCGGCCTCTCTAAAGCCCCTCCCATGAGCTCCATAACTTATGGTGACCGCGCTGGTCTGCTCTGCTCTCCGAGGGAGGACTTTCCAATCTTATTTTGTTGTTTTTTAAAAATTGATTCTCATATTTCAAATGGAGAAAACCCACTAGTTCTTCTGTCCTGCCCCCCCCCCCCCCCCCCCCCCCCCATGCTTCGGGCACTCACTCCCCCTCTCCGTCTCTGTCCTTCCCCCATCTGCCTCCCACCTTCAGTGCGTTTTGCATGGTGCCTGGCTGTTTAGAGGCAGTATGCATATGTATGGGAGAGTCGGTGGATCGTGACGGGATCTGGCATGCAGGGACAAGATCAAAGCGCTCCATCTCATCCCATAAGAACAGACACAAACCTTCCTCTCATCCTTACAAAAACCCCACCGACTCTGCCAGCCCCGACTTCTCCATCTTCTCTCCTCCTGGCTTTTTTTTTTCCTCTCCATCTTACCTTGCCCACGTCAAGGCCCGCCTGCCTGACTCTGCGATTACGCCCCGCGATAAACAACGGCCCATTTAGCTCGTAAAGCAGGAGTGTTGTGCATAATGCTTACAATAAAAGATAGCATCTCTTCACTCATCTTATTTACCTCATCCATGGTGGCGCGGGCGACGAGCGCTTCTATAAATACCACCGGGGACGCCGCAGAGGGAAGGGGATGCAGACAAACATCTGCTGGTCAAATAAAGTCAAAACACGAGAGTGAGGAAAGAAAAATGAGGTTTAACATTTGAACTTCAATCCAGGCGATAAAGGCGCCCTTTCACTGGAGCGCGGGGACATTTGTATCACGTTTAGATTCATTTTTACGGAACATATAGATTAACGCAAAAAGCCACGACACATCCTCCTCTCTATCTCTCCTTTCCTTCGCCTCCCCATCCTTAACTCCCCTCCCTCCCTCCCTCCCTTCCAGTAAGAAAGATGTATGAGTTTGAATTATTGATTCAGACACATGCTACATGCTGCTCGGAGTCATTATTTGTTCAGGTGAGTGTCATGCTGCTCGCTATGAAACAGATACCGCGGGGATTAAGCGACACAATCAGGACTTAAAGACAGCCGTCCTCCCTAAAATAACATGGCCCTCGCTGCAAGACGAATGCTCCCCCAAAACCCGACTTCATTTGTTTATGACTCGCACATTAGTCATCCTGCGCCTAAATTATTGCACGGGGGTAAAGATTAATTCCAGCACAGGCATTTTCTATTGTCTTCTGTGTTTGCTGAAGCCAAATAATGCAGCAGATGAATATAGGTGCAAACGTCCTACACCCTGATTAAAAATAAAAAACAAACAGCAACATGAAAACAGCTTTTGTTGGTCTGTAGGCGTGATGAATAGACAGATGTCCAGAGAAACGACAGAATGGCATGCATATTCACAGCTTTTACGCTGATTATTTAAAGAGGCCCCGAGAATCATACAAGGAAATTACAAACACCAAACAATAAATCATGAGCTGACAATCTAGCGCTGGAGGATTACTGATGTTGGAGATGAAAGGAGAAGTTTTTCTGGGGAAAGGAAGCTCTGACACAAGAGCCTTAGGAGAGAAGCGGGAGGTAAAATGTTGCTAACTGTTCATTTAGCCCTGGCTAAGTGGTCGGGGACACTGGACAGGTGAACTCTATTCTCCCCAATGGCCCTGCAGGGTGTGTGTGTGTGTGTGTGTGTGTGTGTGTGTTTGCGTGTGTGTGTGTGTGTAGACTGTAACAGAATTTCTCTAGTCCTCTGGGTCCTGGTGCAAAGCAGAGAATAAATGGTGGAGGTGGCAGGCCAGGACAGAAAAATCAATGCCTGCTTATACAGACATGACACACCAGCAGCCAACTGCACGCAGCGTGTTACTTAATGTGTGTGTGTGTGTGTGTGTGTGTGTGTGTGTGTGTGTGTGTGTGTGTGTGTGTGTGTGTGTGTGTGTGTGTGTGTGTGTGTGTGAGCAGGCAGCACCCTCTATATCCTCCCTCTTCGGGTAGATTTTCTAGCGTTTTATGCCAGCTGTGGATCAGTAAATAACTATTCTTTTTTTCTCCCCCCCTCCTCGTTCCTCTCCCCTTTCATCCTCCTGCAGGAAGTTTGAATGTGAGCTGTGTGACCGCTCCTTCAGTGAGAAGTGGGCCCTGAACAACCACATGAAACTGCACAATGGAGAGAAGCCATACAAGTGTGTGTGGCCGTCCTGCCACTACGCCTTCATTAACCTGTCGGCCATGAAGGACCACTACAGGACACACACCGGTGAGACACACAGCCTGCAGGCTCCTTTGTGAACCATCACTGCTGCTTCTCAAAGAAGCAAACGGGAAAAACAAAAGCACGTCTAGTGCAGCGGGTCTGACTTTTACAGACGCCTATTGTTTGTGAGAGTCTGACACAAAGGCTTGTTTATCAACGGAAACGAGACTTGGACCAGACACATGATGCTATAGCTGAACACGAGTCCGCAAAATAAAGTTTATGTGAACTGTGAAAATCTCACATTAATTATGAATCTTCACAGCTTTGGTTGGAATAAATTTTCACAAGTTTTGGCCAATAATAGCCGCAGCTCGTCCATCTGTACACATTTTCAACATCCAGAGTAAGTGGAGCTAGCGCTTGGCAGCATCTCGGACTCGTCATTAGACGGTTAAACACACCTCATGATCCTGATATGACTGTCACTGTTTTATGATGCGTTCTCAGCCAGCTAGTCGCAGAAAAAAGGACACCAGGTCTTTGGATTCCTGTTGTTTTTTGTTTTCTGCCTTCTTCCACACTTAACTGTACATGGCGAGGATATTAAGGTAGTGTGTGTTTCCCAAATCCGACGAGTTGTCTAGCTTCCCCAAAGCTCCATCTGGACACAGAGTGTGTTTTTCCACGAATCCAGCTGGTCAGCAAGTGTGTTTTCTTCAAATCCATCTGATGCCCATGAGTATTTTTATTTAATCTGAAATGGTCTTGTGTGTTCTGAGGCTCTCACTCATCTTCCTCGCGTCGCGTCCACTTCTGAGGTATAAAAGAGAAGTGTGTTAAGCTTCTGGAATTTTAAATCTCACTTTATGTACATTTCTTGTTCATTCTTTAAATTTACTTGAACAAATTAGCTGTAAGGTGGTTTATTTTAGTTGAGTCCATAATCTGAACCAGGTTTCCTGTTTTCTGCTACTATGCTGATTCCCCTGCAACGAAAGGCAGAGATCTCCCACACGGAAATATAAAGTGTGGTTTTCAACGCTGAGATAAGTGCGTGTTTTCATTATGCTCTTTTAATTCAATGCAGCAGCTTGTCTTTCCAATTCCATCCCTCCTTTTGTCTCGTCATATACAGTAAAATGCACCGTGGGACTGCTCTGAACTGTGTTTTTTAACTTGCTAAAAACTTTGGATCGACAGATGGTTCAGTGGGAGGTGGGAGGATACTGTCTTGAATAATAGCCCCTCGATAGGAGCCCAAGTCAGCCTCTTTGAAAGTGTCTTTATGCTGCAGCCCAGCAGTTTCCCCTCGGCCCCGGTAATGTCCCACACATGGCTCCTTGATGCCCTTTTAAGTCAATGACAGAAGCAGCAGCAGCCACTGGCCTGACAGTCTGACTGAGCGCTTGCAGCAGAACCCTCCATCCGTCACAGACGCCCGCTGTGTGTGTGTGTGTGTGTGTGTGTGTGTGTGTGTGTGTGTGTGTGTGTGTGTGTGTGTGTGTGTGTGTGTGTGTGTAGGACTTGCTGGATGTTTTTTTAAATGTGTTTTAGCAGTGATGTAGCGTCAAGGCGTCTCTGACATAATTAGACGTTTTATTTTCATTTGTTTCCAACCCTCATCATTCCTCATCAGACAGCTGGCGTCACACTGTCACATAGCTGTCACACGCAGAGGTGTGAGGTGGTGTGTGTGTGTGTGTGTGTGCGCGTGCACGCACGTGTCGGAGTGGGAAAACACACTTGAGGAGAGCATAAACGTGATTGAGATGGGTAAAAGTGATTGAACAAGAGAACTTGAAAGATCAAGGGTGAGCAAATCTGAACGTTGGAAAATTAGGAACGAACCAGAAACAACCTGATTTTAGTGAGCGACGAAACCCGACTTGATTAGCAACACTCAGAAAGCTAACACAATTTGCAGCGCCGTGACCTCCAACACTCCTTTGTCAGTAATTGGTGCTGGGTCAGACGGTTAGCTACAGCTTTACTATCACCGCAATCACATTCCAGCGGCCGACCTGACACCCTGAAATATTATCTGCATGTTTGTGATCTGTTTAGAGGTTATAAATCATCTCCTTCACCCGGCTGAGATGCAATACTAATAAAATCAGGAGACAGAGAATTTGATCTGAGCTGCCTGGAGAGCAGAGTTGTCAGTAACACAGCTCTGGGTTTCTCTGCGTGACTCGTGTGTGTTTTGGGGAGTTTTGGAGCCCCTTTTGACACAAAAATAAAGATTATAATAGAAACACGTCACACCGTGTTTGTGTAACACGAGGGGTTTATAAGTCAGCTGGTCTTCGTTCAGACAGTTATCTAAAAATCTTTCAAATTTTTGAGGGTAAAATTTGTTATTAAATTCAGTAAAATTTTTGCCTTAAATTTAAAAAAATGCTCCAAACTTTTATAAGAAATGAATAAGGTCTTTCAACTTTAATTGTACATATTTACTTAGAAACATACATTTTGATATCACGTATGATTGCTAAGTCCTTGATATCTTTAGCTTCTGTGATGGTTCAATATGGAGATGATTGAAAACAAGAGTTGTGTTTTTGAGACTGAGCAGAAAGTCACACCTGCTCACATGCAAACAAATAGCAAATTAGGGGCTCGACACACGGGAGGCGACAAATGACCGCGGTCAGCGACATTCATCACTGTCGCTTTTATTACCTGATACATGGGAGGCGATCCGCGGCCGTGGCCAGCGGCAAAGCCGTCTACGCGTTTTGTTCCATGGCGAAATCGAAACTTCCGTTGTTTTGCTTGGCTGTGTCAGGTTGGAGGGAATTAAGGTTATTTAAGCAGTTCAGAGTTAATAAAGTGGTAGATATGATGTTTCACAAGGTGCTGCTAGAGTTATGTGAAATCTTACTTCTGATTTTAATATATAAAACATAATAATAATCAACTTCTCCTCCATGTTTGCTCGGGGATGTACGGAGCATCCTGCCCGCTCATTGGTCAATGAATGAAACCTCCGTTTATTGGTACTCGTCCAAGTGACAGCGATGAAAAGTTGAAAATATTTCAACAGTCTGGGATCGCGTTGCTGGGTCGCCTGTGCACGACACGTGCATGAGCGCAAAATTTCACACACACATTTTTTGCGTTTCGCTTAGTAGGAGGGAGACCCGCAATAATCGCGTTGTTGCGCATGTCTCATTGAAAATAAATGGAGGAGAGGCGATGTCGCCTCCCGCGTGTCGAGCCCATTACACCCTTAAAGGCACACTTGGCAGTTTTGTTTGCTATTAGCACCCCCTAGTGCCCTTTTCATTTTTTTAACTCTTTAATCTGAAAGCTGAAAGTCTCCCCAGCCTTCATTAGTGTCTACAGGAGCAGCTCATCACTAAATGAAACAAATCAGCTGTGTTCATGATCTTAAACATGCAAGAAATGTGCTGGAAGCAGACTGCAGTGCCAAATATGTTGGCTTCATTTTTTCCAACAGACCGGACCGGTACTCTGATTTAGCAAATGTGGTATTCTGGCCACAGATGGTTGTAGGGGTCTGAGTGACATTTCATGAACCCTGTAAAGGGTCATTTTAGCACATACTGGCTCAAGAAAAGTATTTAAAAATATGAAAAAGAATCTGCTCCTCTAAATCCGAGTCGGAAAAGGGTAGACCGTCTTCTCCAGGTCAGGGATGAGGTCCTGCCCCAAGCGGAGGAGTTCAAGTATCTTGGGGTCTTGTTCACGAGTGAGGGAACGATGGAATGTGAGATCGACAGGTGGATGGGTGCTACGTCTGCAATACTGCGGGCGTTGTACAGGTCTGTCGTGGTGAAGAGAGAGCTGAGCCAAAAGGCAAAGCTCTCGATGTATTGGTCAATCAAACAATCAAAATGGACTTGTATTAATAATTTACAAGCAAACGCTTACCGTGTTTATTTTGTGTAGTGCAATTCTAACTCCAACTGCTAGGTGGCAGCATTTTTTACCCCTTTTATTCTGAAGGAACCACAAGATCTCACGATAACACTGCTTGTGTTCTGGAAACATCTGACCTGAGTTTTCCAATTAAATTCTTGTCTTGAAAAGTGGAAACACCATCTCAGTTTTAGTATCCCAAAATATTGTATTGTGATTTATATTGAATCACCAGATTCTTGCCAATACACACCTCCGGTAAGTAATTATTAGATTTTCTAATTATTTTTTTCTAGGTGTTGACTTGAACTCAGCTGTTGACACCATCATTAGGCTGGCTTTGATATGATGCAGAATTCATTTGAAGCAACTCCAGATCACCACATTTCCTCCACCGTGCTTCAGAGTTATTAACAGCTTCTTATCTTCCTGCTGCAGAGATGTCTGATGTTTCTGTGGTCAGAAACCTCAGTCTGTAATTCAAAAAAATATTTCCTAAACACCTTGTCTCATTTTCCACGTTCATTGGCAAACTTTACTTTTCCTCTGATGTTTTTTGCACAGTAAATGCTTTTTGCTCAAGCCCAGGTCATATTTATGTAGTTTTCCTCTGATGTAGATAAAGGTTCTTTGAAACTTGTTTTTGCATCACAGCAGCCTTTGGACTGAACTTGCTGTGGTGGAAGGTACTCCCATAAGCTGGCACTTATTTGAAATCGTACCACTTAGAGAAGATTCCTAGCATTAGAGGGATAAATTGAAATTAACTTCCATGAATCCTGACTTGTACAGAGCCAGCCTTTTCCTGGAAGGCCTGAGGGAACTTTTCAGACCTTGGCATGGTGACAATACAGACTCTGACAGCAGTGTTTTACATGTTAAGAAGGTTCTAATTGTTTCTCCCTAATCTGGCCATTTTGATTCTGACACAGCGTTTTGGGTGTGATGAATGTAGAGGTGTATTGATTTATTCTAACATGAACAAAAGTTAGGTCTTATGATGGATTCCTTCCAGGGCTGTATTTAAGTTTTCTATCTAACTCAGTGGCCGGAAGAATTTGTCAGTGTTTTATTTTGTGAAAACTACCATAAAATGAACTCAAATAAATTACAAATGTTGGGGATTGTAAGATTATGCTTCTAAAGTCTCAACAAGCATTCTACACTAAAACTGA